GGGGGGGGGGGGGCGGTGGTTGTCGTGGAGTGAAGGGGAGAGAAAATAATAAGAATCATGGATATGTACCGGGAACATTGAAGTAGCAAAGGATTTACCTCATTAATAATTCCATCACCCCCAACACAAATGATTCCTGAAAATAAAAAATTATAAATGCGCAAAAGCTATAAAGATGACAAAGAAAATCAGAAAGCATAAGGAAAACCAAAAATAAGCAATGTGATTTGATATTGGATTCTGTAGTAGTACCATCAGGACAAGTGCTAATGTCAACAGTAGAGGCAAGTTTCCTAGCATGACCTGCAGACGTTGTTTTAACTACCTCCACTTTGAAACCTGCAAGCTGTCACAGTTCACAGCTACAATATGAATATAAATATGACCACAAGCTCTGGAAGAGTGCATTAACACTATCAAGATTAGAGAAGCAGGCCAACTCTACCACTGAGTTCAAATATACAAAGAGGAATTATAAATACTTATTTCCTATTAGATAGCTACATCAATGGGTGACATACAACAGCTCAGTTTAAGAGTCGTATCCATCAAATAAAAATAATACTTCTCCTGACTACCAAAAGGCACTATAATCAATATATAGGGAAAGCTAACAGAATATACATCATACCTTAAATATAGGTTCAACGACGTTGTGAAAAACCTTACTTGAACGGCCACGTCCAGATCGTGGATTTAATATAACAAGCATTTTTGGCGGCTTCTTACATTTGAAAATTAATTCAGGAGGAGTATCAATTGGAATTAATTCTGAAGAAGCCTGCTTTTTAGAAGATAGCAACGGATGAGGCAAGCAATTCACATAACACTGCTGTTCAGCAAAGCCCCCAACCCACTGAACTGCCTCTTCTATGCTAGAAGCCGAGAATCGAAAGTCCTTACGGCTTCTGCGAGGCTTTATAAAACATGAAAGGCCACAAGAACCCTTTTTCAAGGGATAAGAATGCACGGTGAAATGTCTGAGACCAACGTTGTATGAAACCTGTGCAAGAAAACAAAAACATTATTGTTTCCTACTTCATTCCAAAGAGGGAAAGGCAGACTTGTGATTTGTAGCTGTTGTAACATTCAGCTATAGAAGGAGGAAGTTCTTACTGAGATGACATCATCAAGATGCAGCATGTGAGAACCCCAAATTAAAGCCTTACTGGTAAGCTTGCCAGCAACAGCTTCCTGGTTGGGAATATCAGCAGAGGAGGAGGTGGTTTGTTGTGCATCAGTAGAAGTAGTGTTTATACTGCTGGTTTTTCTTTTGTCCAACACTAATTTTCCGGTGAAGACGACATAACCCAACAGATCAGACTTTTCATCTCCAGCAGCAGAAGCCGGAATGTCAATCCTGTGCTCGAAGGTCTTTAGTGTGTTGGGATCATCAGTGGAGGCAGGGGTTGGAGTCTTGGAAGCCTTGATCTTCTGTCGCTTCTGTTTCTCAGGGAAGACAATTGGGGAGGAGTGTTGGCCCCCAGTTGCAGTAGCTATCTGGGAGCACAATCCCAGTCGCCTGAGAGACTGCTGGGGCGTCGTTACTCTCAAACTGTTCTTGGAAACACTCCCACTCTTCTGCATATTATTTATCTTTCTTTTCTTCTTACTTTTCCTTGTAAAACCAGAATTATTATTCTGCTTATGAATTGCAAAAGGGGGGATCGAGAAAACAGACGAAAGATGTGTTGTTAGTAGGGATAGGTGAGCGGCAGCAGCTGGAGAGGAGGTTTCAATCCCAATTCTAACAGTGAAACGTTGATTACACAGTAACTGCGGCATAAAAATGACTAGATCAACCACCCTGCATATATATTGTTTCGAATTAGAGGTCTTCATCAAAAATGGATTCATTGAGGACAAGTCGCCATTTCTACAACTGGGACCGGAATCCTCAACAAGTCGAAAAATAATTACAATCCTATTACAATTACAATTACACTTACAATTACAACAATATAAGATATGAAAAATAATCGAGACTCAATCCGCTGGAATTGAGGAAAAGGAAGAAGGGGGCGACTTACGAGCTGAGCTGCAGGTCCGTCTTGTTGCTCAGCCGAGGTGGAGATGGCGATCCTTCGGAATACAAAGTCGCACACTCAATCAGACCTGAACAGGAAAATCAGCCCGCTTTCCTCTTCTTCAGTCAGTCCGCGTCGGGGTCGGCCCTCAATTATCAGTTTTTCCTCTCTTTTTCTATTCACCGGGTAATGGACAGGAACTGAAACGGAGCTAGCTCCCCTATAATCTTAGGGAGTCGTTCTATTTGGACCAGTTGGTCGTGCAAGTTTTTCTATTTTGTACTTTGGGTGTTTGGACTCTCACACATTTTTTTGATAATTTATGTCTATTAATCTTTTAAAATTCATTCGATCCGACAATTAAAAATTAAAAATAAGTGTGAGAAGTAAAATAGGATATGTGGATATCACATCCTTGTACTTTTTCTTTTGATATTAATAATTTTTTTATTTTAACGACACACTTTTTATCATAAATAATTTTGAAATTGGTCTAATTCATCATTTGATCATTTCACTGAAAAATCAATCCAAATCATTTTTAGATTTAACTACCGTATATCAATGTAGTCTCTCGTCAAATTCATTAAATTTTCTATGCTGGGCTACCATACAAGAACTACACATAACTAATAATTTTGTGCCACATAGAGAGTATAAAAAACACTCTTGAAAATTAAAAAAAAAAAGTAGAAACCAAATAAGAAATTAACAACCTTCCCTCCAAATACTAGTTTTCTCATTTACATTTAGCATGCAATGACTGGTTGGGTGAAATGGCAGACAAATTGCAGAGAGGCAAACAATCGTTTCACTGTTTGATTTCTCTTCTGAAAAAGTTCATTGCCATTAAGGAATATAGTCTTCGTCTATTTGTTTGATTAGTTCAATGACCAAATGTTGTTTAATTTGCTTAATATTTTTACAAGGGTGTTCGTTTTAACATTGCAGAGTGGGTCCAAATGAACGGTTAAAGTCTCATTAACCTACCGGTCAGTTAGTTTTTAATTTAAACGACACGCCGCAGACACGAAATCGATAAAAATTCATAAATATAAAGTCAGTTAATTAATAATTAAAAGGAAACTAAAATAGGGTCAAATTAATCTCTTATAAAAAGAACTTTTTTTAAAATATATATATTATTATAAGAAGAGAGGAGAGAGTTCAAACTATTACAATAATTTGGAGAAATGACACTTTCAAATCCAAGACGCATAAGTAAAAACACAACACTCTATCAACTAAGCTAAATAAACAATTTGATCTCATCCCGCCTATCATTTTGATTGTCTAGTTTATAAACCTGCAAAAATATGGAGTGGTGAACTTTAACAACTCAATATGGACATTCCTTATTAAAAAAATACCCAATATATACATGAACATTAATTGACAAAACTAAATTAAATGTCATGTAACACATAATTCAATTATAACATGTTATCAATAATCAACTATATGGGTTATATTTCATAATGCAACTAATTAACTTCAATTACTCAACTTGTTAATCTATATAATAGAACAAGTAGACATGTATTTTCCATACCATGCATTTGACCACTGCAGTGGTTGTGTGAAAGCTCTGTTATATAAACCAACACTTGTAAGTCAATCATTCCAATTTTTTTCTTTTGTTAGTCATCTTTCTTTAACTTCTTGTATCCAACTCCAAAATACCCGATAAAAATCTTGTGTACTTTAGGCTAACTTGAGACCTGGTACCTAACAAAAGTTAAACTCAACTACACAAAAGATTCTTTCAAATTATCTCAATTCCATAATTTCGAACTATTATCTCAACTCCATAATTCCAAACAACTATCTCAAATGAGTGATTCACAAATTTGTCTCATTTTTATCTTTAACATATATCACAATATGATGCAAGACAGAACGTTCTCAAGGAGACGAGAGATAAATGACCTGAGATTAATTCAATCAGGGGCAATGGAGTTCGCTCACGTCGCTAATCGTGGATTCTCTCACACAACCAAGCATTTTAGAAGGCGAAATCACTCTCTTCAAATGCTCAAGGAAAATAATACTTTAATTCATTCCAGTCTCCTTTCTCAAGGGTTTAATACATATATTTATAACAAATACAACACAACGAAACTCTAGTCCGAATTGGACTTTTGCTCTACCCAAAAATATTTAAAATGTTCTTATATGACTACTTAATTATTTGTGTTGCTCTAAAACTCAATTAAATATATTTGATGAATCCAATACACATGAGACTCTTGATAGATTCCAATACATGCATGAGAGATTTGGTTACAACATCAATCAGAGTGATTTCTCCTTCTAAAATCAAGCATTTGGCTTGGTCGTGTGAGAGAATCCACGATTAGCAATGTGAGAGAGCTTCGTTGCCCTAGTTGAGCGAATCCCAGGTCATTTATCCCTCGTCTCCTCGAGAATGTTCTGTCTTGCATCAAGTGGTATCAGAGCAGGTTTTCCACTGCATTAGAAGATCGTGGCTAATATTTTTCATCCATTTGAACATCAAATAATTGAAGAGATTAGCTTGGTTGATTGGAATTCTCCACCAGTTTATGACAAGTATGTTGATGACGACATGGAAGAGATTAAGAGGATACATCGACATCTCACCAATCAAATTTCTCGCATCGAAAATCGACGACGAGGCGTTGTAGCTTCCGAAGTGGAGGGAGGCATTTGTTTGCAATGTGTTGACCTTTTTCATGATAACACTATATGGTTTGAGTCAACTGAAGAAAGAGATTTTTGTTCAGCATTTTACCATGAAGTGGCACAAGATACGGTTAGTTTGGATTATCTTAGTTCAAACTATGGGTGTGAAAATATTGAGGCTTCATCTTTAATTCATTTGAGTATGCCTCCCTTATTTGATCGTTGCTTGAGTAATTGTGAAATTTGTGACGGGTTTAACTTGAGTAATAACAAAAGTTTCGGTGGGAGAGAAGAAGGGTTTTCATCTCTCGAATCTTTGAAGGAAGTCGGTGACATTACTGAAGTGGGAGATATCAAATTCCAAGATATTGTTGATATGAAGGAAGATGTTATTTATGAATACGTTGATTTTATTGGTTTTGATATTTTTAATTGGAAGGCTTCTCAAGTTTTAGTTGATTTAGTCAATCAAATGAAGATTGATATCAGTTGGATTGCAAGATTTTTCATGGAGCATGAATTTACCACTTCAAGAAAAAGAAAATATTCCAAGTACTTGTTCGCATGGAAAGGTAAAAATCAGTTTCAAGATTATAACGGAGTCGACAAATATTTAAACTCAAGGACAAGTTTCTTCAGAGAAGAGGAGAATGTTGCAATAACCAAATCTCACATGCATGTATTGGAATCTACCAAGAGTCTCATGCGTATTGGATTCATCAAATATATTTAATTGAGTTTTAGAGCAACACAAATAATTAAGTAGTCATATAAGAACATTTTAAATATTTTTGGGTAGAGCAAAAGTCCAATTTGGACTAGAGTTTCATTGTGTTGTATTCCTTATAAATATATGTATTAAACCCTTGAGAAAGGAGACTGGAATGAATTAAAAAATTAGTTTCCTTGAGCATTTGAAGAGAAATCAAGCGTTTGCCTTGGTCGTGTGAGAGAATCCACGATTAGCTGGTTGAGCGAATCACAGGTCATCTATCCCTCATCTCCTTAAAAACGTTCTGTCCTGCATCACAATATATTCTCAACGAATAACATTCTAGCATGAGAATCAAGGGTGGGCAGCTAACCACTCAGCCCTGGAAAATTCTCATACAAAGAGCAGTTTTTCTCACCCATGGATTCAAGGAGGAAGAAGAAATTTATAAAAAAAAATAACCCTTGTACCATAACAACCTCGTTTGGTCCTTATAACTCATGTTTTTCAAAAAACGAGATGTGTTGCTTAAAAAACAAAGCAACAGCATGTTGTTCCTTCAAGATTTCAGATCCCTCCTTTGACTCGATGGCAACAACCATTTTTTCCATATTTCTCCCATTCAAACCCTATTGTACTTTATCAACGCTCAAAATTATCCATTTTCACTTTCTTTCTTAATCACTTTGACGCCTCTAATGCTAAGATCCACCCACCAATAAAGAAATATAGATAAGAACAAGTATATATAAAGAAATATAGATAAGAACAAGTATATATTTTTAACTTAAATCCTTAATTTCATAGTTTCAATATGTATTTCTATTTTTGTATAATTCCCATTGTTACTTGTTAGTTTCTAAAGTTTTTTTGGATGGTGAATTGGTGGTTATTTTGATTTGTGATTTAGTAGAATATGATTAGAGATTTGGATAGTATGGTTATTGTGATTTTGTGATGTTAAAGATATATTATTAACTTGAATTTTTTCATGAATTGATAGTGAATTTGAATTGTGATTGATTGATTGATAGTCAATTTTAAATGTCTTGGTACAATCACTTGTAAGCTTATGTATTTTGCCCATTCAATACTAAATTTCTAGATTTGCCCCTAATGAGCGTGGAAGTGCTGCATCGGTTGAATAAGAGGGGCGACGAAATACTTGCAGCGGTTAAGAGCAGGGGCGTGGAGGTGGAGAATGACTGGGTGGTAAGAGGTAGGATATGATGTAGCTAGGAGAGGAGCCGCAAAAAAGGAATTGTGAATAATGCAGCAAGTAAAAGAAGTTGTCAATATTACGTTTAAAAATGAGAAAAATAGAACACATTCGGGTAATCGAAAAGAAATAACCAAGATAAATCAACATAAAAAATTAAAAAAAAAGTAACGTGGTTCGGTTATATGTGCCTACGTCCACGGGACAACAACAACAATCTTTCACTATATCAATAATGAGTACAATAAATAATCTTATCTAGCCTTTAAAATTAAGACTTGACGAAAAACTTGAAAGAACAAGAAGAAGAAATACATTCTTATCTCTTTTCTTTTCCCTAGCACACATTTTGCCCTTCTCTCACTCTGACTCCTTGAGTGGTATCCAACTTATTGTTTTGCTCCAATTCAAAAATACTACAATAGCCTATTTATATAGACATAATAACGATCTTCTTCAATAAGGATTACTAATCTTAAGTGGAATTTAGTTATGAATCCTTCTCTAATTGAGGAACCAAATCCAATTGGAAAACAACTTCAGGTAAACAATTTAAATTGGGTAAACAACTTCAATTGGGAAACAGCTCCAATTGGGAAAACAACTCCAATTCGAAGAACAACTCCAAATAAAGAAACCACTCCAATTGGGAAAACAAATAAATCCTCCAAGACTATAATTCCTAATAAACTTATGTCAACTCATCATAGGATGGAAAAACCTACCAATTTCTCCTTCCAGACCATTAGAAAGGTATACCAAAATAGGATTGCTCATCTTGATCAAATTCCCATTGATAGAGATTTCTCATAACTAGGCTCCCTCTGATTAAACTACTTGTAACCAGACTCCCCCTAATTGAACTACTCATGGTAGATTCCCCATGATCAAACTACTTATAACCAAGCACCTCCTGATCAAACTACTCATAACTAGGCTTCCCCTGGTCGAACTACTCATGACCAGACTCCCTTTAATCAAACTTCTCTTTGACCAAGTTCCTACTTCTCTTAACCAAGCTTCCTTGATCGAAGTACCCATGACTCGACCTTCCATCGAACACCTCTTGACCAAACTTCTCTTGACTAGACTCCCTTTGATCGAAGTACCCATGACCAAACTCCCATGATTGAACATCTCATCTTCATTGGCAAAGGAAATTATAGACTTCTTTACCATAAAACATCGCTCATCTTCATCTTGATCCAATCACCATCAGATATATTGGTTGCTGTCTCTTAACACCTTCAATAAAGCTTGTCCTCCATTCTTGATTTTTGTGTAACCCCATTTGAGTTGTGTGGTGTCTCTCATTATCTCATAGTAAGGGTCGATATGCACAGTTGCAGAAAGAAGCGTTATTGGTAAATTGCAGATTGACCTTTAAATGAAGTGCTTTTTAGTAATTACTCAATAGTTGTGGTTATATCAGATTGGCCTAGATAGAAGGGTCTACTTTAGAAAATTTTTACTGTGACAGAAATATGGGTGGTACACCACATGTTTTTATAGAAGTGATGGAAAATTTTATATTTTAAGTTAGAGAAGTGTTATTGGCATTCCAAAAATCTCATTCTACACTCCTCACAAGGGTATTTTTCTTTCCAAATATAGAAAGTTTGGAATGTAGAATGAGATTTTTGGAGTGTCAATAACAATTCCCTTAAGTTATTAACGTTTTAACACACATATCTCACCATTTATATAATGACACGAAATGACACCGTGTATTGGTCACATTGAAAAATCTCTCTACTTTAACCAAATTCGAAGAATTTTCGTGTGGGGCATGGGGTTTGGAGAGCGAGTTGAGAAAAAAGAAAGCAAAAGAAAGACTGGGTGTGCGTTCACGGAGAGGGATTTACTAGATAAGTGGAAGATAGATGGACACAGGAGCAATGAGTATCGCAACAGTGGCAGCCGCCGCCTCTTCATCCCTGAGCGCAGTAGCAGATGTGGGACAGATGAAATCGTTCTCATTTTCTTTCCCTTCTTGTTGGGCAGTTTCTTTTTCACATCACAAACTCACTCCCACCCCTCCTGCCCACTGCCCGCGGAGGAGGAAATTAAGTAGAAGGGTAATTTGCGAGGTCGCTGCCGCCGATGTATCTCCATCAACATCATCAGATGAAGCCACCGCCGCCGCAGCCTCCTCCAAGATCGGATCTAGGGTTACAGTGAAGGTGCCTCTGAAGGTGTACCACGTGCCCAGAGTTCCGGAGGTAGACATTACTGGCATGGAAGGTGAGCTGAAGCAGTACGTTGGGCTGTGGAAGGGCAAGCGGATTTCAGCCAATCTCCCTTATAAGGTGCAGTTCGTCGTCGACGTTCAAGGCCGTGGCGCAGTTAAGTTCTTCGCCCATCTCAAGGAGGACGAGTTCGAATATCTTTAATCAGTTTTGGTATCATTCTCTCTCTCACCTCACACATTATATATCAAATAAATTATAGTTATATTTGTAATTATAATTGTAATAGCAGTTAGTTCTGTCTCGTTTCAAAGAAACTGCAACTGCACTTGATTGTACGTATTTAATCACATTCACATGGATCAGTCTGATCTATTATTATTTCTCGAGCATTGAGCAATCTGCAGTTTTCTTGTTGGTTAGCCTGCCTAACCTCCTCACCTCCTGCTAGATAAAAGTTGCATTCGCATTGATGCAGCTTCTGACAAAAATTTGTTGCGAATGAAATAATAGCAACAAATTTCATTCGCAACAAGAAGTTGAAACAGATTGTTTTGCCTCCTTGTTTCATTTCAAAGGCACAGAGACTATTGTTGTTCATCAATCGATTGCCTTAGTTTTTCTTAATAATTGAACTAATGATTGTTAAGATGGAGAACACTCCAGTTTGGTTCAAGCTTAGGCCATGTTTGAGCATTAATCTTTGAGCTTAAACTCCGTGCAACTTATACAAAGTCCAATCTGGAGAAGGGCCAGATCTGGAGTGGTGACAACTGACGAGCTTATAGCTTATCATTGTCTAAAACCAGCTATGAGAACCCCAGACTAAATAATTTAATAAACGGTTACTCTTTTTTTTTTCTTTTTTTTTTTTTTTTGCCACTACGGTTCATACTAAAGTAATGCTGTCTCGGGGGACTTGGAATGTTAATGGAAGCTGCTTTCTAATCCATAGGCGCCTCCACCCAAATTATACATTGTTCAGTGTTTTCTGCGTATGCATTTCAACTACCTCGCTTAAGAGTTAAGTGCCTGCCTTTATTGGTTCACTGTTCTGCATATGCATTTCACCTTCCAATCGCTTACGTTTTGAAAACAAGAGATCATATTCGCAACTAAATGCAGCACTCTTTGTTTTCCAAAAAAAAAAATGCAGCACTCTTTTATAAAAGAGTTTCAATATTTTAATCTTAAATGTACACTCTTATAATTTTTCAATTTTTTTCTAATCTTAAATGTACTCATTTTAAATATACCAATTTATTATATGTAAAATGTACAATTTTTTAACATAAAATGTACCCATTTTTTATATAAAATCCATTCAATTTTTTTTCTAATTCATTTTTTTAACTTATATGAGTACATTCTATTTCGTTAATTTGAGAATGTATCCATGCTAAGTTTAATAGAAGAAATTTAATAATGTTATTAAACCTTTTTTTTTTTTTTTTTTTTTGAAAAATGTACTCATGTTTTCATACAATAATTTTTTTTGTTAGTTTTGATGAATGTATCCATGTTTAATTGTTTATATATTCAATATTTCTAATCTCATAAATTATAGGTTTTATTTAAAATCTCATTAATATAAACAACTATAAATTTTAATTTTTAATTTAAAAATACAAAAACCTACATAAAAATACATTGTCACATTAATGTCAAGGACTTAAAAAACTAAAAAGTAAAAACCACCAAAGTTTCAATCAAAGAACATTGGTAGTTAGGGACCGCATCCGAAGTCTCTTTTTATATAATTTTAATTAGTTGTTGTCCACATGGCACAAATTTGACATCATTATCAATAAAAATTTGGGACACACAGTTAAAACATTATTATTTATGATCAAATTGACGAATTGACTAACAAATGTATGACATTACTTTGTGTATGACATTGCAGTGTTTAAAAGACACAATATGAGATTGCCATTGTAGGCAAACTTGAGAGTGCAAAATATAATTTACCAATATATAATTGTTAATGCGGCCAAAGGTTACAATTTGATGCTCAGATTAACCCATAAAAAAAGAAGATACGATTGGATGCTGCCAAGTTGGGTTACGAGTGAAACGGAGTGGAGCGATCTCCACTGAGTAGAGTGACACGTCGTCAATTAGCCTCTCGTTTTAGTTAATAGTTTAGAGTTAGCTTGTACCAGTTCTCCACTTAGGATTAATGTACAATCAGGGACTGCCCGAGCCTGCCAGGCCACACAACACAGAGAGCATTGAACCATCAGGGCGGTGTTGCAAGAGAGAGGAGGGGTTCACAACTCCAAAATGCACAAACTCCCTCCAAACTGCACTTTCACTATGCACACTTTTTCAGTCAAGAAATTTCCTGAAGAGCTAAACTCAACTCCTGTGCAGACTTTGCAATTGATCCTCCTCTTCTATGGGTAAAAAAGAACGCACAAAAGAGTATTGACATCTCCAGCATAATTAATTAAATGAGGGGAAAAAACCCCTGTATTGAAGCAAACTAAAGAAAAACAGGCACCTGGTAAGAGCAGGCAAACTGCATTTGACCTTTTCAAGCTCCATAAAACAGATGTTGCAACGCTCCAGCCTAGGATAACCATTTCAAAAAGATAGCCACCTCAAAGCTGATCATGCTTAAATCTAGATATAAGGTAAAGAAAAATGTATATCAGAACAATAAAAAGCATACCTTTTCTCGGCTTCAATATCAATGCCAACAGATGATGATGCAGATATTGCTGAATAGATCACAGAACCAAATACTCTAACCAACTTGAGCAGCATGTCCAAAGAAATGCCTAAATGCCTGAATAAAGATCAGGCCCGTCAAATAATGAGTATCAAAATTGCAGATGAAAGATCCCGAGCACAAAACCTAGTAAAGAATGGCTGTGAATTTATTTGCTAATCAGGAATGTTATTATTGCCTATCCAATTCAGCTTGACTACTACAAGGGGTCTGTTATTCTACCACAAAGCAACCAGACCCAGGATCCTAAATATTCTTCACCCAGGTAACATCCATCCTTCACCGGAAAATTGCTATTAGAGGCCCCTCTTTCACAGCCACCAACACCCTACCCCGCCTTTTTTTTCTTGATTTCATAAACAATTGTTCTCGTTAGTGAAATTTTATGGGCAATAGATGGCATGTCACAATTTCATTCATATCAAACCTGTGAATATGGTGCCCGTAGTGCACCAGAAATCCACATGCCATTCCATTTTAAGGGGAAAAAAAAAATGTGGTGGCAAAGCATCACTCCTAAAAGAAATGATTGAAAATAAATCACTTCAAAAGCACAAAGCATATTTAGTTGAAAGAAATATTAGACTGGTTTCCCAGAGGACAACTTGCACCAGCTTTTCCAATTTCAAACCCAAAAGTGCGACACGCTCAGAAATCCACAGAAAATTATAACATAACAAATGAATGGATGATACTTCTATGTGTATGCATAGCACTTTAGAAAACATTGGGGAGCAGAGGACACCTATGACATAGTGAGCCCCCTTATGCGATAACAAAAGAAAAAGACAACAAGTAAAATGGGGAATGTATCCCATAACTCGGATATAACAGAGGAAAATCAAAGCACAAATGTATTACTTATGTGCAGCTGATCATAACTAAAACTCAAAATGAATATATAAAGAAGAAAAGTTTCTGGAAGCTGTTTAATGTCATTAAGATTCTAGAAGGCCCACTACCTGAATCCGCGACAAAGACCCCAAATAAATAAAAAGCGAAAAAAGGAAGATACTGCTAAAACTTCTTACCTATCCATGTTACTTTCTAGAAGGCCAGTGAGGAGTGGCAGAAGACAAGTGCATATATCCAGCGTGACAATATCAAATTTTTCTGTCATAATGCCAACTACGTCTGCAATGACCTGGATTAAAAGCACAAACATTATACAGAAACTTTAATTCTATACAATAACTAAAAGGGATGATTGCTCCACATTCAATAGTATCTAGAAATTGAGGGCTCAAGAAAAACATTAGTTCTATACTTACAGCATGATCAGCCATCTTCTCCATTGCACCAAGGACTGCCTTAACATCATTCCTTTCCCAATATCTATAGACTACCTGCAAAGGGCTACCAATAACATTCATGAATTTATTAGGTGATAGTTAAATGTATTCTGTCAGCAAATTGTCACTATTATTATTGTAACTGAGCACTGATTGGTAGTTCCTCATTGCAGCTCAGCCATTCTTATATAACCTCCTACACGGAACCATTAGTTTGAAACCTATCCCAAACCCTAGGCCCCTATCTATCCCCAACCTTATCTGCCATTCAAAACACTACTAGCATAAAAAAAAATAATAAAAATAAACACTGAAATAACTGCTATTAAAAAAACATTCAAAAGATCTTGCATTTCTGTGGCTACAAAGATGCAAACAGAAAAATAAAGCTCAAGAAATTCTATAGAAGGAAGAAAGATGGAATACAATGAATTATTGAAAGATAGTTGATCTAAGCTTTATTGACAACCCCAATTAACAAGCATTGAGCTCCCATCAACTTACCAACGCCCAAAATTCATTTAAAGAAAGAAAAGATGCATATAGAAAACAATAGCACCACATAAACACTTAAAAATAGTCTCAAAACCAATAAATATAACCTGTAATTTGGCAAGACGAGATTGCATGGAGCCAACAAATAGATTGTGTTTTTCCAGGACATCTGCAATAGCATCCTCATCACTAGCAGTCACTGTTTCTTTTTCAGTAGATGTAGGATAACCTCGTTGCTTAAACTTCAAACAAAAAGAAGATGGCATAGGTTACAAATTTTGTCCAGTAAAACGGAACACCATCCAGAAGCTATCATGAGAAAATGATCAATCTTATACAGTTCCATGGTCTCTACTACAGTGCTCTATCCATGGTTTCTAGTCAGTCCTCATATCATGACATTATGGGGAAAGAAAAGTACATTGAGAATTGGGCAATCAATTTGCAATTAAATTATCTCATGGTTAATGTCATTCTTTGAAAAATGACAGAATATTCCCATGTCATTTTCTTAAGTACAATATGTGATGTGTATCAAGAAAGAAAGATGGCACCAAAAGGCAGAACATAGATGTGGCCATACCGCAATTAAAGGGATAATGTTTGGTGCAGATGCTGTTCCCATGGTACCATTGGAAGTAGGTCCCTCGTAGTTAGAATTTCTCTCTCTTTTCTCCCAATTTACAGCGATTGAGCGCATTCTCCCTAGATATACCATACAGAGCTTGGGTCATACTTCACTAGACTAGTCTTATAAATGACGCACAAGCAAAAACACTATACCTCCTCTTTGACCTTCAGCAAAATGTGCATCTCTAATCACCTTGTGCCCTGGAGCCTCATCTTAATAACAAAAAAGAAA